AGCCTCGCGGCGCCACTACGGACGCCAAAGCTGCCGCTTGTTTTTTCAGGCGAACGTCTTTGCCACTGCATGGTCTCACACCTTCATTCCCGCTCGGCCTGTACGGTGCGCATTGGACCGCCTGCCATTGAGCAGTACGGTCTGGCTAGTCGCTTTCACACGTCGTGTAGCGTACAGCCTGCAAGTCCTGCTGTGGCGCGTGCAGTCAAGACGCTGCAACAAGGACCACTATGGTCTCAGGCGCTGCTTTGTTTTCGGGCTGCTCCTCAGAACTAGGTCGGCGAACCGATTTCGTGGTCGAGGCTTGCCGTGGCCAGAACACCCTCGCTGATCCATACTTGGCGTTCCTAAGGATAACACGATAACGGTCGCATGCAATATGCGATTGCTCTGAGGGCGCACTCATACTTGGCTGGTGCTCGGATGTCCTAGCGGGGGAGATCGCCCTGAGCGCGCGCGTGTGCGTGTGCGTGTGCGTGTGTGTGTGTGTGTGTGTGTGTGTGTGTGTGTGTGTCTGTGTGTGTGTGTGTCCGTGTGTGTGTGTGTCCGTGTGCGTGTGCGTGCGCGTGCGCGTGCGTGTGTGAGAGTGTGTGTGTGTGTGTTTGTGCGTGGGCGATTTCGTGTGCGTGTGCGTGTGCGTGCGCGTGCGCGTGCGCGTGCGTGTGTGTGAGAGAGAGTGTGTGTGTGTGTGTGTGTGTGTGTGTGTGTGTGTGTGTCCGTGTGCGTGTGCGTGTGCGTGTGCGTTTGCGTGCGCGTGCGTGTGCGTGCGCGTGCGTGTGTGTGAGTGGTGTGTGTGTGTGTGTGTGTCTGCGTGCGCGTGTGCGCGTGCGTGTGCGTGTGCGTGCGCGTGCGTGTGTGTCTGTGAGAGAGTGTGTGTGTGTGTGTGTGTGTGTGTGTTTGTGTGTGTGTGTGTGTGCGGGCGTGCGTGCGTGCGTGCGTGCGTGCGTGTGTGCTTGTGTGTGTGTGTGTGTGCGTGTGCGTGTGCGTGTGCGTGTGCGCGCGCGGGTGTGCGTGCGTGCGTGCGTGCGTGCGTGCGCGCGTGCGTGCGTGCGTGCGTGTGTGTGTGTGTGTGTGTGTGTGCGCGTGTGCGTGCGCGTGTGCGTGTGCGTGTGCGTGTGCGTGTGCGCGCGCGCGTGTGTGTGTGTGTGTGTGTGTGTGTGTGTCTGTGAGTGTGTGTGTGTGTGTGTGTGTGTGTCAGTGTGCGTGTGGGTGGCGCGATCGTGCCGCACGGGGGCGGTCCTCTGCATGAGGAAGAGGTGGAGGAATAGTATCGGATCGGGCGCGGCATTGTGCGTATGGGGTGTGACACGAAACTCTTCATTCGTGCTTTACACCTGTGCTCAGCTCCTACCCAAAATCATTGCATACCTGCTATATACAGCTATGGGTAACGCGCAACGCTCATCTATGACATGCCGAGTATTTGGCCGATCGCAAATTGCCGAGGTGCGCGCGGGCTAGAGGGGATGCCCCCTCTGGCCTCTCCTGGAGCCGAGGCCCGACGGAATTGAAGGCCCCAGGGAGCGGTAACCAACAGCAGCAGCATCAGAAGGAGTGCGGGTCATTTCGCCGTCGTCGCCGTCGTCGTCGTCGTCGTCCGTCCCTGGCGGGGCCTCGGCCACCGCGGGATGAGTATAGGAGTGCGGGGTTCCGCAGACCGCGGGATGCGCGTGCCCCCGCGCCGAGGACGCGATGAGAACGGTCCGGATCTTCGGCAACTGTGCTCTCGCTTAGCGCGCCGCGGCGGCGGCGGGTTCGGTTGCACATCATGGGAGTCTGGGTGACCCTCTTAATTCCGTCTTCAGCGTCGACTGGCATCAATTAGCGTTTGGGAGTCGTTGGCATAGCCCCCATTTAGCGTCGGCTGGCGTCGGTTCACGTCGATTTAGCGTCGACTAGCGCCGATTCGAAAGAGCCAACAAGATGGTATGGAAGGCCCCCACGAGTTGCCGCAGAAGGCGGGTGGCGGCGGGGGGGCCTTCCGAGCCTTTCCCCTCGCGCTAATTACCCCAGTTGTGGGCACCGCCGGGTAGGTCCACAGGTCCACGAGAGGCCCCAGGGGGCGCACGAGAGGCTCCAACCCGCCTGGGCACCGACCGCCCGCCGCAGCGGCGGCGAGGATCGGCCACGCGCAGGGGGGGGGTAGGAGGAGGGGGGAAGGCTTCTCAGAAGCACCCCTGCTTCTTAGAAGGCGCGGGCCTTCTCTGTAGATGTACGGCTGGCGCCTTCTAAGTAGCAGCCTCTTTCTAAGAAGCCTTCCCCCCTCCCCCTACCCCCCTATGCACGCGTCCAAGAGTGGACCCAGATGAGCGAGCGGGACGGCGACAGGCGAGCTGCCGCGACTGCAGTGTTGCCATGAAGATCTTCTGATGAAGAAGCTGTGAGAGAAATCCTGGAGGCCTCGCACGGCGCGTAGTAGTTATATTATGTAGTCCATACGTCAGCTCCGTACGCAATGGATGCACGCTCGCGCGGCGATGCTCCGGCGTCAATCCCGACGTAAATCCGACGTAATTCCGACGTAATCCGACGTGAACCCGACGTAAATCCGACGTGGATCCGACGTACATCTGGTCTCAAGTTGCCGTTTCCTCAAAGGAACGAAGCCCTCTGGGGCCCAAGTTGCACCTTGATTTGCGACGATCGCCCAAAGGACAAACTGAAGGAAACGTGTCAGGAGCCTCGAGGCCCTTCTGAAGCCAAAGTGGCCCCTACTCCACACTCGAAAGTGGACCTGATGCTCACTCGAGGGTATATGCATTAGGTGTTCACAGGGAAAGCAACCAATCAGCTTCCCTCCTTACATGCTCTCCTAGCTTCTAGGAAGCCTCCTTGGACGCCTCAGGGGCCTTTAGGAAGGCCCCTATCTTCTAAGAAGCCCCTCCGCCTTCTTGGAAGCCCACCCCTTTCGCGCCTCTCCCGTCTGGGCGCCCCTAGATGATACATTGGAGGCGAATTGGGCTCTCCTTGCGCCCCCCCGTGTCCGTCTTTAGGCATCTCGGCGCTATCTTGGCCCCGTCTTGAGAGGCACTGGGCTCTTGAGCACACCACACTCAGGGCATGGCGAGGGTTGCACAGGCGAGGTGCTGTGCTAGGCGAATGGAGCGAGCGGAGGGGCCATGCGTCGAAGAACAATACACGTCAAACTTTCGGACGGTGCGCGCGGATTTCTTGGATCCGCGCTGGGGCCCCCTGGTGGCGCCTCTGGCGCCGGAGCTCCGTGCGCCAGAGAGGGGGTTCTGACACATGCTTGTGCTTGTGCTTATGCCGTTTTTACTCTAGTGAGGCAGCACCACCGCCTTCGGGCCCTTTCGCTCCTCAGGCCCCGAGACCCTGGAGAAGGCCAAGGCGGAGGTCGAGTTCGTCGAGGAGGCTCGCGCCCATCGGCCTCGTGCGGCGCCCGCGCGCATCCCCGAGCGCTTGCCCCGAGCGCTCGCCCGCACCGCGTCGAGTCCAGTGCCGCGTGCCGAGGAGACGGCGCGAGGAGACGGCGCGCACCCGCGCGCCGCGGCATAGGAGGAGGAGGAGGAGGAGGAGGAGGGAGGAGGAGGAGAGGAGGAGGAGGAGGAGGAGGAGGACGAGGGGAGGAGGAGGAGGAGGAGGGCGAGGAGGGGGAGGAGGAGGAGGAGGAGGAGGAGGAGGAGGAGGACAAGGACGAGGACGAAGAGAGGAGGAGGAGCAGGAGGAGGGAGGGAGGAGGGAGGAGGAGGAAGAGGAGCAGGAGGAGGAGGAGGAGGAGGAGGAGGAAGAGGAGGAGGACGAGAAGACGGCGCGAGGAGAGGGCGCGCACCCGCGCGCCGCGGCATCAGTGGAGGCCTTGCAGCCAGGGCGCATGCAACGGGTATCGAAGACGAGCAAACTGCATAAACATAAACTTTTGAAGCTCCGCACGGATTTCTTGGATCGCCGCCTGGCCCCCCTTGGCGGCGCCTGCAGCGCCGCCCCTGGCGCGCTCCGCGCGCCAGGGAAGGGGTTCCAGGGCAGATCCAAGAAATGCGCGCGGGCCAGCGAACGCTCATATTTAGACGGTTTTTTGTTCCTCTAGGTCAGGGGCAATGTTCGGGCGGGGCTCCGGTCCAGAGCGTTCCAGATTTTGCAGAGCGTCCCCGGACGCTCTGAGAAGGCCGCGGCGCCCGAGACATCCTCCAGGTTCGCGGGATCTCAGAGATTCTCGATCTATCCTTACCCGAGTTGATCCTCGTCCTGGCTTCGTCCTGAACGTCAGGGGGAGGAGGCCTAGGGGTGGGGATGGAGGGGGAGAGGGGGGGAGAGGGTTGAGGGAGGGCCGACGAGACGGCGAGCGCACTCGTGGCGAGCTGCTGGCGCCCATGCTCTGGCCTGGGCGCCCGATGTCGCCCCGTGGCGAGCCGCTCCGCCTTGCCGTGCCCTGGGACGTTCGCGATGAGTGCGAGCACACACGTGGGAGAACCACGGTGTGCAGGGGCAACGTCACGAGTTTGGGAGGGTTCTCGGAGACTCTCGGAGGTCTTCGAGCCCCGGGATGCCTGCCAGCGGCTGCGCTCCGCCGAGGGCGTTCAGGGGGTGCCGGGATCGTCCCGAACGGCCGCTGGAGAGCCGAGCGATGGCCCGAAAACAAGCAGGCCCGAGGCAATCTTAGGGGGAGATAGGCTCAGGGGGGAACGCATCGACCCCCAATCGCCCATGCCTGCCGTGCAGGGGCTCGATAGCCTACCCCGCACGGGTTCGTGCGGCTTCTGCTTCTGGGGCCTGATCTTCGATTTATCGACGATCAGGTCCGCCACGACACTGGTCGGCGGACGGAGGAGCCAACTCAGCGCAGTGGGAAGGGATGGGTGGGAGGGGTAGGGACGTCAGAGATGCCGCGAGCGCAGCACCCAGCTTGTCCCCGCCCCCTCGCCCTGCCCCTGCCTGCCCCTCCTCTCCTTTCCTCCTTCCCGCCGCTCTTCCCCCCCCCCCCTCTTCCCCTGCGCTCCCCTCGTCTTTCCCCTGCGCTCCCTCCGCCCCCTCCTCGCCCCCTCGTCGTCTCCCCCCCTCCCCTTCTCGACCGCCGCGCCCCCAGCCGGCTCAGAGCCGAGTGGCCGCCCGCGCTGGGCGGCCGTGGGGGGGCGCTCGGCTCCTCCGGTCTGCCAGCGGGCGAATAGCGTCCGCCCCTTCCCGCAGCAACGGAGCGCGCGCCCCCCACGGGTCGGGGGGCCCAGGCTTAACTCGGGCCTGTCCCTCTACAGGAGGATATTCAAAAATAGTAAAGAATAGTCAGGGGACATTTGTTTGACCATTTCTGCGCATTTTTAGAATTTTGTTGAAGATATTTTTTTAGTTTTCGCCCAAAATCCGCCTGTAGGGGGACAAGCCCGACCTAAGCCCAGGCGGCGGCTGAGGGGGGCCTGGCGCAGAGGGGGGGGCGAGGGCGCGGAGGGGGGGGGCTGAGGATGCAACTCCTGGGCATGTCCGTGGTCGAAGACTGGCCTGTTCTGGCGTGGCCCCGTGCAATTGCTGTGAGCCCCGCTCAATCTGGCGCCTGGGCTTACAACCATAGACGTCTACGTTTCCGCCCTACTGCCTTTTGGAAACGTCCATGCGGCCAAGCGTTGGGCAGAAGTTTGGCCGAGCTGTTGGACTTTGTGTTCCCCCAGTCATTGTTGAACCCCTGGGGCGAACACCTTGGAGAGAAAGAGAACGGACGATGAGAGGGATGAGAAGGAGCATGAGGAGCAGGAGCAGGAGGATGAGGGGGGGAGGAGGAGGCGGAGGAGGAGAGGAGGAAGAACATGAGGCCTCTGTATGCCGTCTTGTGGCTCCCTGGAGGCTTCCTGAGAGCCTCTGGCGGACCTCTTTGGGATCTCCTGGGGCCTCTTGGGGGCTGCTGGGGGCCTCCAAGGGACGTCTTGGCCTTCGGAAGCCGTATTGGGGGCCTCTCTGGGCAGTCGTGGGCCCCTCTTTTGGCGCTTTACGGCCGTCTTGGAGCCGGGAGCGACAGTTGGCCGTCGTGGGGCTATTCGTACCTGGCGTGGCCTGCAAGCGTTTTGTTGTTTGCGCACAGATTCGGCACCGCCGCGTAGGGCGAGGTCGCGAGAGCTCCGCCCAAGGCGACCGACCTGTAGCACAGTCAGACAGGATCAGTGGGCCGAGTCACATTCCAGAGGTGCCCTTGCTTCCGTGCCTCTCGGCTCATCCTGGCCTGTAGTCATGGGCTGTGGGCTTGCAGCTTCGGCTTCACTTCGAACGTCCCAGGGATCTGCATCCTCACCGCGCGTCCTTCTGACCCCGTCGCGCCGTAGTGCGCTCCGATTCCGATTGTCCTCCTCTCCTTTCCTCTCCCAGATCCCCGACGCCGTGACATGTTTGGCAATGTGGACCCCTGGAGATTTCGACCACCACTTCACCGGGGGTCTCCGAAGGCCGAGACCTGCCAAACGTTAGTCGTGCGGAAATAGGAAGGAAAATGGCAAATATTCAAAACATACACAAACATTAACAACAATACTAGAAAAATCGTCCCCTGACTATTTTTGACTATTTTTGAATATTCCTCCTTGGGAGGGACACGCCCGACTTACGCGTTCTTCCAGGGCGCGAGGGGGTGCGCTCCCCCTTCTCAGAGAACCAGCGCACGTCGTAAACGGCAAGCACTCGGAGCCGGCGTTGGACTCCTCTCCCCACGCCCCTTGGTGTGCGTGACCAGGCGCAGGCTCCCGCCGCTCGCTGCCGCGCGCCGCGGCAGGGGGCACGGCGAGGGGCGTTCAGCACACGCCCAAGGAATCCGCGCGGGCCCCTGCAAGGGCATTTTTTTTTTTTTTTTTTTTTTTTTTTTTTTTTTTTTTTTTTTTTTTTTTTTTTTCTGTTTTTGTTGTTGTTGTTGTTGTTGTTGTTGTTGTTGTTGTTGTTGTTGCCGCGTGCGGCGCCGGTGCACCGCCTCCAGTCAACCACGCGCAGTTGTAGGGCTGGCGCTTCCTGAGAAGCAGCCTCCTTCTACGGAGCATTCGCCCCTCCCCCTACCCCCTTGTGCGCGCAGCCAAGCTTGGCAAGGCTCGTCCGCTGGTTATTGGCACCCAGAGCACGAGCTCCTTCTGGTGTCGCAGGTGCTCAGAGCTGGAAAAGGTGCCCATGCCGCTACCCTTCCCTCGATTTCGCCTTTTTGGGCCTCCTGGATGGCCCTCGTCGCCACCGCTGGATAACTATACACTACACAGGTCCTGGCCAGGCCAGCCCCTGGCCCAGGATTGGTGCATCCGCCCTCCTCGCTAAGCCAAGAGGCACTCGACTCTCCTGTCCTGGGCCCCCAGGGTGGGCCTTGCCAGGATGGGTGCAGGTGTAATTCCTGTCGGCGCCCTCCGAACCTCCTTCGTCCAGGCTATCTCTCCGTGGAGGGACAGGTACCCATACCGCCACCGTTCTCTCGTTTTCCCCTTATTCTCTTGGGAGGCCTTGTCGCCACCGCCGACTCCGCCTCGAAATCTTGGTCAGACCGCACCCCGGGAGAGGCCCCGGGAGTAGCGGTATCAGTACTTTTTGGTCTCCCCATGGTTGCCCCCGCCCCCTCCCCCTTTTCTCTTCATCTCGTCTTCCCTGGTGCTCTCTGGCTCTCTCTCCACGGGGCTGGGGCCGGTGTCTCTCCCAGACCCTGGGCTTCCGCCTCCTCCCCCTTTGCCCCACCTATCGTCTCCACCTGCCCTTCGGGGCCCTCGCTGGTTCCCGTCAATCTGTCAAAAGACGATTCAAGATGCAACATTGGACTTCGGGGCAGGGTCGGGACTTGCGGGAGCCCCGTATTCAAAAAAAACAGCACGTCGGATGGTTTGGTATTTGCCTCCCCCTGGGGCCAATCGAGGTGGTCCTCCTGTATTCCGCATGAAGGATCCAGACACTTATTCGAAGACCTGGCGGCCCGTCTCCTGGAGCTCGGAGGCAGAGGTCGAGGCAGCCCTTTCGAGGCTCACCTGAGTTTGGTTCCATCGGAGCCGCTTCGAGCTTCACCCGCATCCTCATCCTTGCTCTCTCCCTCTTGTGTCTGTTGCCTCACCCCCTCTTGCGTGCGACTTGCCCAAGCCCCTTTTCCCGACGTGGCCCCTGTGCCCGTCTCCGTTGTCCCGCTGCCTCCTCGTCGCCTTCTGCCGAGCGTGCCCCAGTCTGATTCAGAGGGCCTTCGACGGCACGGAACGTGGTGGCAACGCACCTTCACAGCCTGCTATTTATTCTCCCAGGGCAATCTAAGCTCGAACGCATTTCCCGAGCGAGACTGCCGAGCGGTGTAGGCGAGTGCCGCCCGAGCTTGTACTTTACCTGTTGCTGGTTCGTGCAGCCGAGCGCACTGGAAGAACACATCATCGTCATCGTCGTCGTAATCGTCGTCATCATCATCGTCATCCTTACCATCATTTTAACCATCACATCACCATCACCATCACCATCACCATCACCAAAGGCCGCCGAGGCTCAGGCCATCGAAGGAGCAGCGGCCTCCAGCCACCGCCCTCTTGCCTAGCCCGAAAGGCAGGGGGCCACACAGACGACACCCCGCACAACGCCATGCCGCCCAGGTTGTGCTCCAGAGCTCGGGCACCGCGCACCTGCTGAGCACGCAGGACTCGCTCGCTGACATCATGAATATGGACGAACGCATGGAAAGAGCACCTGACCACCAGCCAGACAATGATGCCGACGCTGCAGTGCGGGACCGATATCCCCCACTACACGCACGAGTCCCAAGCTGCAGCTCGACCCCAGCATCACCACCACCTCAACACCCAGCACGCGAAGAACAACTGGACGCTGAGCAACAAGTTCAGCATCACCGCGAAAACAGAGGACCAGCACATGCAGGATTACATCATGCTGACCCTGAATTGCTAGACGCTGATCATCAATGTCAACATCAGCACGGACATAGAGGGCCAGCGCGTGCAGGACTACACCACGCTGACCCTGAATTGCCACCAGCGGAACAATTGCATGCAGACCTTGAATTGCCACCTGTACTTGAGTTTCGACATGAACGGGACCCTGGCGACGAACGACCTGATCATCAATTTCCAGCCCGCTGCCCTGACCCCGACGTACGCCCGCATTACGCCACGACGAAGGCCATCACGATACTTGGATGGAACCCGTTCTCGCTTAAGGGTGTTCCAGGGCGGCTCGACCACATCTCCGACACATGCCGTGCGATTCAGATTATGATGTACGTAGGCACCAGGATACGACAACGCACCACCGACGCCACGCACCATCTCGAGGACCGCCTCCACCACAATTGGGTCCACTTCGGCTGGGGCCGGGGGGCCCACACAAACAGCTCGGCAGGATGCAGCATCGCAGCGTCCAAGCTCCATTTCCGCAAGGTAGATATCGTCAAACTACTGCACCCCCTACAACCCGACCTATGGGGCCGCGCAGGCGCCGTCGAGCTGCACCGAGGCCAGCTCCGTCTTCGACTCATTGCTGCGTATTTCCCACCACGGCCGAACGCAGCAGGTCAACACCAACGCTGGAAAGCAGGGTGCCGACGACTATGGAGCTGGGTACTGCAGACACTTACCGCCACTCCCGCTCGCGTCGCGCCTATCTTGTTCACGGACCTCAACCAAGGCCTAGGATGACGATCGCGACATCTGTACACCGACAGCGCGATCGGCAGATACCACGCCAGCGACGAGACCGAGTTCGGACGCTTCATTCACGACCAGCTCTTGACGCACCAGCTGACGGCCATCCACGCGCACATCGATGTCGGAAACACCTACTACGGGCCCAACAAGGCAAGCTCACGCATCGACTACTTCATCGGCTACGACAACCTTATGGAGATAGTGCAATATGTTAAGCTGACTTCGGCCTCCTCGCTGCTGGGCTCCAGACGGGCGCCCATCGCGTTTCTACGCCGAGATCGGCAAACACAAGGAGGTCCTTCGGGTCGTCAAGATGGATCAGTTTCCGACCCGACACAACGCCATAATCGCTCGCGTCATTCGTGAATGCGGCCGTAAGTATTACACAAAGGAAGGAGGACAACCGCAATGGTACCAACAAGCTCGACTTGAACGACTCCGACTGCTTAAAGAACGTGCTGACTGTCGAGCCCGACGACTACCCTTCAACCATGAAACCCTACGCGAGATCCAAAGACGCCTACGAGCACACCAACGATGGATGGATCACTGGTGGAAAG